GGTCATTAGAATATTTCTGAATTAAATGAGATTTTAACTATACAAATACTAAAGAACATATTGAAATGAAAAATTATTACTACTTTACAATGATATTTTTTAATATTTTTACAAAAAAATATCAAACACTAAGCTTTCTTGTTTAAATTGTTTCCTTTCTCTTCTTGTTTCTGCCATCTTCAATTGTCTTATAAATAGGTCCATCTACCCAAAATTTTTCTTATTTACATGTTATAATATATTGGACATATTGTCTTTTAGGGTTTTAAATGAAGGCTTCTTTGTAGTTACTAAAGACACAAGGACCAGTTAAAGTATTTTAGAAAACAAAAGCTCTATTCTTGTTGCTTCTTGCAAGTACAGCTTCACATACTGACACTCATCAGTCAGTCAAAGTGTGAGATTTGAGTATTTCCACCCCAACATTCTAAAATACTTTCACTAGCCCAGCCAGCATGGCTCAGTGGTTGAGCGTGGAACCATAAACCAGGAGATCAGGGTTTGATTCCCAGTCAGGGCACATGCCTCGGTTGTGGGCTGGATCCCCAGTATGGGGCAGGCAGAAAACAGCCGATCACTGATTCTCTCATCATTGATGTTTCTGTCTCTCTTCCTCTCCCTTCCTTCTCTGAAATCAAGAGAATTATATTTTTAAAAATATATATTTTACTACATATAATTCAAAGTGAGCCCTTGGTGCTGTTAAATGTTAAAATGGGATCTAATTGAGAAGCTGAAGTTAAAGTTACCATTATTGGACTTTAATGGGCTTTGGAAATTCTTAGGACATCACTAATTATTCCACTAATATTCCTGCATCCATAGCATTCATTTGTGCAGCAGAGGGGAACAGTTATTTAGACTTTTAGAAAATTAATGGCTCACCTACTCCCCTGTACAATCGAGGCAATTATTTGGTGATTTTCTCTTAATGTTGGGCTCCTGTGTGCATTGAAATTTTCAGATGAAGTCTTAGAAATGTGTAAGTGGTTTCCTGTGTCTTAGCTTTCATTTTAAAATATAATTACAGCAAGTATAATTATAATATTCATTTCTAACTTTTCTTCTTTTAAAATGACTGTAGACATACTTTCATGATTCTTCTCACCAAGGGAACCAAACAAAAGTCTATGAATCAAATATTTCAAGGTCAGCTCTTCCAGATAATAATGAGTATCAGGGACCCATTATACATTTTTTGTTATAGAAAGGGAATTGGAATAAGTAAAAAGACACTGATTCTTTATCCCAAATTTGTTTCATGTGTTCATTATGGGTCTGTTTTAATTTTTTAGGCATGAATTTAGAAGACATGGGGGGCCTAGCTGAAGACCTCTCTCTTGAAGAGGCACACTAAAACTTGGTCTTATCCACTTTTTATTCAGTTTTAGATGCACATCTTAGCCTCAGTAAAGCATGGCAAATAGGTAGCAGACAGACTGTCCCTAAGGTCAATAAAGATCAGTAAAGATCAGTAAGGTTCAGTAAACATTTACTTTGAAGCTATCAGCTCGGGAAATTGCTTCAAGCCACCACTATCTAAACACAGCCCTGCTAATGCCCAAGGTCATGACCTCCTGCATTCCTTGGTGCACTCTTAAGATAGTATTGGGAAAGCTATGGCTTCTCCCAGAAGAACGCAAATAAAAATTTAAATTTAAAATTATCAAAAGTAGGAAACAAAGAGAGATAATATACTCTGTGCTGAAACTCACTTTTTTCACAGCTTCAACCAGATTTCAAATTGCGCTCTTAATTTTGTTATCAGTATTTTTTGTGATTCATTATGTATTTAAAATAACATATATTGCAATTTATTTCATAGAAATAGCATTTGCTTATTAACTGTATGATTGTAATCTACATAGGGAACATTAATCAGTCACATATTTTATCTAGGTTTTAGTCTTAAATTCATTGTCGGTTGAAAATTGAGTAGACAACATTAAGCTTGAAAATTCTTTAACTTGCTCATAAGTGTAGTACCTATTGAAACTTCTATTATTCACTGTTTAACTTACTTGTATTTCACTATTGGGATACTTGGGAAAGAACAGGGAGATTTGAAATAATGATAATAATCCTGACAATCAATCCCCAATGAGCATTTTCTAAAATGAGATCTTGAGATTGCAAAGAGAATCAAGCTGACTCAAACAAATGGAAATTTAAAGTGGAGTCATTAATACCAACATACTGACAGTAGTTTTATATATTTTTTATAAAGGTCTAGTAAGCATAATTTTTAAAAAATGTATCTCATGTTTGACAAATTGCTACAAATATATTGTGAAAAATAATAAAGTGAAATAGGTATTTTTAAGTTATAATTATTAATTTCATAACCATTAAATAATTATTTAATTAGCATTAAATAATTATTTAATTAGTGTTAAATAATTATTTAATTAGCGCTAAATAATTATTTGTTTCAGGGAAAGTATGCTTTAGAAAAGCACTTTATTCCATAAGATAAAATATGGTGACTTGTGGTAATCATAATTCAATAAATTAACAATACTGTCAGTTAAAATTAATTTTTTATTAAAATTGGAAGTTAATCAGTAAAAATTGTGCAAAGAAGCTTAATGTACCCACTATCACAATGCTAATATTGTGACCGCATTTTCTTTTCTAAATGTGATTGTTGTGTTACGGGGTCTGTTTTTAAATATAAAGGTTTAGAATATCACAATACAACATTGAGTAAAGAAGTCAGACAGAAACTTTATCATCATCCTATCAATATAAAGTTTAAATTTAGGCATAACTAATCAATGGCATTAGAAATCAAGATAGTGATTTTCCCGAAGAGTTGGGTATAACTAGAAAATCATGAAGGGATGCTGATAATATATCTCATGGGTGTGTATATTTTGCAAAATTTTATTTAGATGTAAACTTAAGATTCATTCATTATAGTATATCTGTGATACCTCAATAAAGTTTGCATTAACAGTAAAAAGTTTATTTCAGTGTTAATAATTAAAAGGATATTATTCAACCAAATGCTTTATTGAGTTGGCATTGGTCTGAAATTTGCTCACAGTATGTTAAAGAATTGTCTTTGATTAGTTGATCAAACTCTGATTTTTAACTTTTGTTAGGAATGTGCTTTTTTTTTTTTCTATTCTGTGCTTTGTTAAATGAATAAAATCTTTGGGGTTCAAAGCTTAGAAAGAAAAACTTTGATAACTATTCTTTTCTTTGTTCTTTTTTCCCCTTTAAGTAATATTGTTGAAATATAATTACCATTCATCTAATGCCAAAATTAAGCTCTACAATTGTATAATCCATACCAATCATCTAAAAAGATGAGCTGGTGATTAGAGCTCATTCTATTCTAAAGTTGAGAATTTTAACTTCTTAGAAAATTCAAGAAATATCTTATCCAGAAGTGAACTATCTGGGTTAAGTTACCATATCTACCAGGTGGATAAAGTTATCCTAAAATATTTTAATGGTTAAGCACATATATCAATTTTGAAGCCAGAGAGTCAAGTTCATACTATACCTTAATACACATTTATATAATTTATAGTACTGTCATTATATGCTAACTTTACCACTTACTATGCAGATTTTGAAAAATTAAACCAAGTAAAATGTCAGTTCTTTAATGAAAATAGCTGCACTTCAAGTGTTCAATAGTCAAATGTGCCTAGTGGCTACTGTAGTAGAGCATATTTAGAGAATTTCCAGATAGTTTTACTGGACAACACTAATATATAAAAATGGAATAATACATTCCTCAGAGAGTTTATTAAATAAGATTATTTCTGTAGAATTCTTTTTTAATATCTTTTATTGATTTTATATAGAGAGGAAGAGAGAGAGATAGAGAGCCAGAAACATCAATGAGAGAGAATCAGCTGCCTCTTGCCCAGCCCCCACTGGGGATGTGCCCGCAACCAAGGTACATGCCCCCGACCGGAATCGAACCCGGGACCCTTCAGTCCACAGGCCAACGCTCTATCCACTGAGCCAAACCGGTCCTGGCCATTCTGTAGAATTCTTATCATTATGAAGGCAAATCATAAATGCTTGATCCATGATATTTAATAGTCATAACATTGATTAAAAACAATAAGCAAATAAAATAAAAACATAAAACTTATATGTCTAGAATCATGACTAACATATATGTAGATTTTTATAAATTCTCTGAGACTCTGTTAATCATTCTGATTCCAAATAGTTTACTATAAAATAGTTCTCAAATTGGCATTCTGAAAAATTTCCCTGAAGTAGAATCCATAGACTAGCATAATATGTAATACTCATGCTTTATTAAACACACACACACACACACACACACACACACACACACACACACATTCTAAGCAACTATTTACCTTCTTAAAATTCTGAATGCTAAGAAACCTTAACTTACAGATTGTAAGTATCTATAATCCAGAAACAAATCTGGATAATCAGGGTATAGGATAAATAAAAAATAAGTTGGTTTAGTATTCTAACCCTTTATAATTATGATATGACATTAACTAATTAAAATCTCTTTAAGCAACTCTGAGCTTATGGGTTAAAAGCTCTGAACTTTGATTTGTTTTATTATCTGGATATATTTTAGTGCCTTTATTTTTTCCCTTTAAAAAAATAGGTTAAATAAAAAACACATGTCTATCATCAAGACAATGCTTAGGTAAACAATGAGTCTATCCTTAAACCAATTTGAATCTCAGCCCAGAGCTGAACCCATCTGACATACCAGTTAAAACACCTGATTCATCAACTGGGCTCTGTTAGTGTCTATGTCCTTTTATTCACAGTTCAGTAGTTATTATTTTAATGACAATTCTTGAGCCCTGTGGACACAAAGTCTGTCTAACAGCATCCAGAAAAGTAGACTTTTAGGTGGGCTTTTTTTTTTTTTGCATTATTGTTACACAAGGAACATCAATCTTATAAGCAGAAATAGCCCTTTAATAAAAGTCATTTTTTGCCTGATTATTTATAACTTGTGTTTTTCCCCCTCCTAGGCTACTGACAAAGATACTGGCAATTATAGTGCCATGGCATACAGGCTCATCATCCCACCCATCAAAGAAGGAAAAGAAGGATTCGTGGTGGAAACATATACAGGGCTGATCAAAACAGCCATGCTCTTCCATAACATGAGGAGGTCCTACTTCATGTTTCAAGTCATCGCAACTGACGACTATGGGAAGGGACTGAGTGGCAAAGCAGATGTACTTGTAAGTAGATAAGTCTTCGGATGCCATACGAGTCTGGGGTTAACGTTTTCAACAGAACTTTTAAATTTATTTGAAATAGGCTTTCTAAAATATAAATGTGATTAATTTTATCCAGGATGTTGATAGCTGTAGCTTAGTATATATATTAAAAAAATGTATGGCTTTAAAGTTGTTGGCTTTTTTTGACATTTGGGAAATATATTTTTATATATGCTTTTGGCAACAGTGTCATAAGCACTGGGTTTCTATTTGGTCTGCAAATTTTATTTTTAATACATATTAGGTTGGAGCTACTTAAAATTTTAAAATGCTTTGCATAGTTGTGCTGTAGAAATTAAAATAATTTGTATTATTGTGTAAATTACTTTTAGGCCTTTATAATTAAGGGGGGAAAAGGAATGTTTGGAGCAAGTTCACGTTTCAATGTTTTTGTTTTTTTTTTCTTGTTGTTCAAAGTCCCATTGATGACATTGATGATTCTTGACTAAGTTACATTTGCTTTCAGTAAATAATATCACTTTATTCTGACTTTTTCTTTAGAATTTCAGTGGTAGATTATTCCCAAGGATAGTTTGCTATTAGCATTTATTCAAAATATTTAACATCAGCCGAAACCAGTTTGGCTCAGTGGTAGAGCGTCGGTCTGCGGACTGAAAGGTCCCAGGTTTGATTCCGATCAAGGGCATGTACATTGGTTGTGGGGACATTCCCGGTAGGGGGTGTGCAGGAGGCGACTGGTCGATGTTTCTCTCTCATTGACGTTTCTAGCTCTCTATCCCTTTCCCTTCCTCTCTGTAAGAAAGATCAATAAAATATATTTAAAAAAATATTTAACATCAATGCATCCGTACCATAGAATCTCTGATAAATCTAATATAAATTATAATTATTATTGGAAATGTTTGTCCCTTAAAGATAGAATCAAGTATAATTCTTCTTGCCTCTTACATCTTATTAAATCTTATTTTTTCACAGCTTTCCTCATTTAATTCTTTGGAAAGGTTTAACCTTCCTATTATGCAAACATCAGTGATCAAATATTTTTCTTATTAGATAGAGATTAATCACCATGTTTGTGATGGTTGTGAAAGCCACATCATTTTCATTTATAACAGTAAAGCTGCATAAAAAAACAAGAGCTAATTTAAGCCACGAAGCTTTTGACATAGAAGATATTAAGGTTGATATAGACTTTTGATCAAATTAATATCTGTAAACATTAGGTAAAATAATGCTTTTTCTCCTCCTGTTAAGATCTGCACACTGTGATACTTTAAGACTAAATGATAATTTAGCATATTAAACATAATTAAAATATTATAAAAATATAACTATAGAATATAGATAATATGTAAATAAGCAATATGAAGTTTATGGGATTTTTATTTGGACTTTATAAGTTATTATGTGAAAATTATGAAGTATACTTTTAAAATAATTTAAACTATATTGAGAAAAATTAAATTCAAATAAACCATATATATTGTCTCCCAAAATAATATTTGTAAGATCTAAAATTATTTAAATTAAGAAAAGGGAGATATGGAAAGAGAGAAATGTTTTATAAAGAGAGAACAACAATGTACCAAAATCAAGAAGAAAGAGATATGATAACAGGTCTGAATAATGATAAATATTTACTCAGTCTAAAGAATAAGACTAGGAAAATGACTAAGAGAAAGGGCTGAAGATGGAAGTAGTTGGTTCATATAAAAGCTGAAAGCAATATTAAAATTATTGGAACTCTTTCCTAGAAGCAACAAGAGACCATTTTTTTAAATTTAGTAAAGGTGAATGAAGATAAGATTTTAATTTAGATAAAACCTTGCTTCATGCAAATGTGGTTCTTCCCTGAAGATGCACTTCTGCTGCCTTCCAAAATAATGTCTTTTGTGTTCTATTCTATATATGTTTGCCACAGTCCTCATACTAACCGATACTAGCAAAGTAGAATTCTCAGTGCACCACATTGCTGCTTCTAGATCTTTCCTTCTTCCCAAGAATCTAACCTTGGTTCTCATCATCTGTCTCTGTCACTTATTCACGGCCTCATATTATTGCTGCGATCACCCACATCATTGCTCAATCCCCAGCATATGTCAATGAGTTTAGCTCCAGAGTTATCTCCAAGAATTCTGTCCTAATTTTTGGCGATTTTGCTATATGCCTAGATGGATCTTCTAGTATCCTAAACTTAAAATTTCCCTGAATGGCTTTCCTCCAATGGCTTTACCATCTACCCTATTATAATCACTTAACAATCAGAGTTATTTTAGCCATTACCAATTACTGCAACCTCTCTATAACCTCCATTTCAAACTTCCCACTCTCTGACAGTAATAATGAATGTGTTCAGCTAGCCCCAGCACTCTTGTGTCCTCACCAGGACCTTTCATTCATTTAGTTGCTATATTTTACCCTTCCTCTAACCCCCATGTGCCCTCTTTCCTGCTTACCAGTTTTGTAATGCATTATCAATTATTAAAAGCACTCCATCACATAAAAATTCAACTTCCTTGCCTTCTCTTCCTAAATCATATATATTTAGCAAAATCATAACTGTACTTAATTGCAATTTCCTTCTTTCTCTCATGCTGAGTATGACTGCAAAAACATGAACAATTATATAATTAGTCTTTCTTTAAATTAATGATAAAACCACCCAAGTGAGCTCTTATTTATTCAATAACCACACTCTATTGTATATATAATATATTTCCTGCTCCTTCACACTCCTCTTTTAGAAGAACTAGTTCCTTACAATTCTCAATATCTCCTCCACATGCTAATTGCCTAATTAATTGGCAACATATTTTACTGAAAGATGACAGTAAAGCATTTATCGATAGAAAGATACTCGGACAACTCCGATCACTAAATTTTCCTGCCTACCAGGATTTATACTGACATTCTTTACTGACATTATTACTATTACTGACATTATTACTATTACTATTACTGTTACTGTTACTGTTGCTGTTGCTGTTGCTGTTACTGTTACTGTTATGTTACTGTTACCGTTACCGTTACCGTTACCATTACCATTACCATTACCATTACCATTACTATTACTATTACTATTACTATTACTATTACTATTACTATTACTATTACTATTACTATTACTAGATGGATTCTCTCTGCATTTACTAGGAACCATTATCTTGACCTGTGCAACAGATTTAAATCTCACTCACCAACTCTAGTACATTGTTTCAACAGCTCTCTCATTTTCTATATTCATCATTAATATCAATCCCCCCTTTATTTGATTACTAGAGGTCTGGTGCCTGATATTTGTACACAGCCCAGCATGCACCCTCAGCCCAGCCTGCACCCTCTCCAATCCGGGACCCCTCGGGGGATGTTGGACTACTGAGTTAGGCCCAATCTGCTGCCTTCCAAAATAATGGCAGTCAGACATTCCTCTCACAACCTGGGACTACTGGCTCTTAACTATCCCCCTGCCAGCCTGATCTTCCCAAACTGCCTCTGCCTGTCTGATCACCCCTAACCACTTCTGCTTGCTGGTCTGATCACCCCCAAATGCCCCTCCTGCCAACCTGGTCACCCCTAACCTTTTTATGTTCAAAATAACACCCTCTTAATCTACATCTCCTTTAAGCTACCACTCATTTCTATTCATTGTTAGAGTTGACTAATTTCTCACCATCTAATCTCTTCCAAATTCTCTCTAATCATAATGTCAGTGCTAATATTCATCCAAACTTATGTCAACATCATCAATGGCTTCTTGTCACTAAATGGGCTGGTAATTTCAGTCTTCATCTTATTTGAAACATCAGCAGCACTTGGATTATTATTATATTTACTTGGATTTTGGGCTACCATGCTCTCTTTTTACTTCTGACCTTATTGTTTATTCCTTCTTGGTTCCTTTGCTGGTTCAGTTTCTTCTTCTTACCCTTTAGTACTGAGATTTCCTATAGCTCAGACATTAAAATTAATTCCCTTTTCTACTTGTACTCATTGATTTAGTCAATTCATTCAGATTCATAACTTTAAAATATCATCTATATACTAAAACATATTAAAGTTATATCTTCATCCCAAAGCTCATTTCTAAAGAGTGGACTCATATATCTATTTGTACTTGCAATATTTACAGATTAATATCTAATAAAGATATCTATGTAATGTTTCCTAAACTGAACTTCACTTCCTCATCACATTTCTTTCATTTATAGTCTTTCCAACTTCATTTGATGCCCAAATTATCTTTGAGTTCTTTTGGCTAAAATTTCTTGATTCAATCCCTTAGTAAATACTGTTATTACTATACATTATTAACTGCACATTTTTCATCATTTCTACTGTTTAAACTTCATTGAAACCACTATCATATTTTACCTATATCATTGCACAAACTCATTACTTCTCTCGTGTTTCTATTCTTTCTGCACTACAGCCCAGTTTAATTATAACAGCCAGTGATTCAAATTTAATTCAGTTCCTGTTATTTCCTAGTTCAAAATATTTTAATATAATACCAATTTACTCAGAGAAATTTTCAAGTCATATATGAGACCCTTGATTATGGCCTCCAGTAACCTCATTTTCTACTCTTCTCTCTCTTAATAATTAAAACCCAATAATCTTGCCCAAGTTGCTTTTGTTCAAACAGTCAGACATGCTCTTACTTAGAGATTTGGCAGTGGCTCTGCTTAGAATGTTTCTTCTCCAAATGTAGCATCACGATATAGTATCAAAGAAGAACACACACGTACCTCAAAAGGCTATTAAAATATCTTGTATTTTTTTCAAGATAAGTGAGATTATATTACAAACCATGTAAGAGAGGCAGTGACCACTCCAAGCAAAAATTGGTAGGCCTCAAAATGTTCAATACGTTAGCTATTTGCCACATGTGATTTCTCAGCACTTGAAATGTAACTAGGTTGCATTAAGATATACTGCAAGGGTATAATACATGCTGAATTTAAAAGTCTTAGCATGAAAAAATATGAAATGTCTCCTTAGTAAGTTGTTTTATGCTGACTACATATTAGAATGATAATATATTAAATACATTGTGTTAAATGTATTATTGAATTAATTTAACTATTTTTCCTCTTTGAGTGGCAGAAAATTTTAAATTACATATCTGGTATGTATTTGAGGCTCAAATTATATTTCTATTGGACAGTACTATCTAAAGTATATGGGTGAGGCAAGGAAAGATAAGAGGTTTGTGATGAAGAATTAAAATGACTTAGGAAATAATGTAACTTGACAATCTCTTGTTTTAGAATTCTAAGCTTCATAAACGTTACTTTCTCTTTCCTGTTTTTTTTTTTTACCATACAAAGTGACAAAAATAAATTTTCACAATAATAGGTATATTTTCTTTAAAATATTTTATTAGTAATCAACACACAAAGAATAAAATAATTTAATAAGCATAATTTTTATGGTTTTTTATAATAAACTGACATGTATTTCTGATATTTGCATAGAAGCTATACTGGAAACAGTAACAAATAATACTCAGTAATGCCAAATACTCAAATATCTCTTCTATAAATGATGGAAGAAGCCAAAGACTTAGGGATATAGGATTTTTATTTTTATTTTTTTTTGAAAATCAGAATTTGAACTATAATAGCTTACTCTTCATTTGCATAGCCCAACATATACTCATTCTATATAAACCATATATTAATACTTTTAAAATATTTAAAATTTTAAATGTAACTTTTAATAGGTAAGTCTGAAACAACTACTCTTGGAGTAAGACATTTTATCTGAATTATAAATTTTCTATCTTAAAGATAACAAAAGTATGTTTTCAAAGGTTATTAAGATCAGAAAATATTTTGGATAAATTGTAAGCTTAATATACATATATTCCAGAATATCTGAAATCTTAATTTATTTGTTGATTCAGCCAGAATATAGCCCCTAAGCTCATTAACAAATTGAAAATTCCCTTTGAGTCAGTAATTTATCTTTCTGAGAAATTACTGACTGTCCTTAAAAGGCAAATAATAGAGTTACTTATATCTGCTAGATGAAATTTTGCTTCCAAATAGGGTCTTAGCACATGAGGTGATTGCATTCCAAAAGTTTACTTGTAAGTAAACTTCAAAAGCTCAGAATATATAGAAGAGGAAATTCTAAAAATCTGATAGCCACATGTAATAGACACCTATATATTTGTCATGGTAGACTTACTGTGTAATAAAAAGCTCCAATATTTCCGAAATTTAAACAAACAAATGTGATTTTTCTCTCTTATGACTGCAGTGAGAGTGTGTGTGGCTGAGTGATGTTCTCCACAGCTTTCCTTCAAGTGGAAACACAGGGACTCGGTTTCCTTCAGCTTAAGTTTGTCCTTTTCTATGACTTCTTTATTAGGACAGAAATTGAAAAAGAAGAAAAGACTCACACAGAAAATACTTAAGCAATTTCTTTCCTTTCACTAACTTTTATCTGTCAGAACCTCATATGGTTCCACCAAACTACAAAGGAGGTTGAGGAATCTGTTCTTGTTGAGATAAAACTCCATGGCCACTGTTTGTTCCAGGCCATTTGCTTTTTGTCAGAATTTCTTTTCTATCTTTCTTTTTCTTTTTCTTTTCTTTTTCTTTTTTTTTTTTACATTGTCTGATCCAATGTTATAAGAAAGGGGAGAAAAGATAAGGAAGCGAAGAAGATAAAGAGAGGGAGAGGAGAATGGACAGATTAAGGAAGGGAGAAAAGGAGAAAATAATTTTTAAAATATCATATACATTTTTCTAGAGATTTTTGCTACCAAAAACAAAAAAAGTAAGCAAATAAACAAACAAATAAATAAAACTAAAATACTTTTAGGTAATTTCTGTCTCTTTTTTCCACTCAGGACCAATTAGAAAAAAAAATTACACAAAAACTGTGATAATCTATTTTCTAGTAAAATTAGATGAGTGTGTGTGTGTGTGTGTGTGTGTGTGTGTGTGTGTGTGTGTGTGTGAAGACATAATCAGGAATATGTAAACATTGGTCCCAGAAATTTATAATGAGTTAGGGATTCAGGGTTGTAACTGCCAATGTTCACTGCTTGCTCATAGGTGGAAATGTTACAGATGCCTGGCTTAATATACAATGCAGAATACAAATTACTGGGCTCCAACAATGGTTTGCAAAAGGTGGTAATTAGTTGCATTATTTCACATAGAAGTTTGGATTTCTTTTCCCAAAACACTGAATCCTCCTGTCAATTTAAACCTGTTTTCCCATATGTCCGTATCACTAGAAATGAGTTAGTAGTTGACCTATTCCGATGAGTTGTAGGCTCTGATTTGTCACATTTCCACTTCTCCCTATAATTTCATGCTTTTGGCTACTTCAGTCATTTAGATTACCTGTCTGGTCTTTGAAGACACTAAGTTTGTGGCTCCTGATAGGGCATCTATACGTAGACAACTTGGAGCCTGTATCTAAAATACATGCAGCATGAAATTATTCCCTAGTATAAATTACTAGAGGCCTAGTGCATGGGATTTGTACACTGGGCACGATGGGGAGGAGGGGGTGGTCCTCAGCCCAGCCTGCACCCTCTCGCAATCCGGGAGCTCTTGGGAGATGTCTGGCTGATGGGGAGTGGGCCTACACTGTCAGTTGGACATCCTTAGCACTGCAGAGGAGGCAGGAGAGGCTACCACTCTGTTTGCTGGACTCACCAGTCATGACTCTAACTCATGGTTTCTGGCTGAGCAGCATTCCCCCTGTGGGAGCACTGACCACCAGGGGGCAGCTCCTGCATAGAGCCTCTATCCCCTGGTGGTCAGTGCACATCATAGGGACAGTCATAGGAACAGATAGTTCCTCCATTTGGTCGATTTGCATATTAGCCTTTTATTATATAGGATGATCAGATATATGATGCTAAATATGCCTAATCCAATGTATTCAGTTTATGATCCTAGTACATTACATACACCTAATTCTAATAGTGTCTAACTTACATGCAAGACACTATGTAATTTGACTTTACATTTGTTATATCCATATTGGATAATAGTAAAGAGCACATATTCTGGAGTCAGCCTGCACTAATCAATCCCAAGTTATTATATGTTTCTTTGTTTCTTAGTTTTCTTATTTATAACTTAATAATAGTTATAACTATCTGATATGGTGGTTGTTAGAATTAAGTGAGTTAAAGCCTATAGTGTATTGAGGAAAAAAGCAAATTGTTTGATGTAAGCAGGTAATAAATGCTTTTATTTTTATTCCATTATTCTAAGAACAGAAAAAAAATGATATTGATGTTAAATGAGAAGGATAAACTCATCAACAACTGTTAAAATTAATTTTAGCCCCATCTGTAAGTTTACATGTATATTTGTCTTTATCTGTAAGTTTACATGTATATTTGTCTTTATCTACGCATAAAGTTGGCTAAAGCAGAAATAAAGACTATATATAATGATGCCCTCATCGGTTTGGCTCAGTGGATGGAGCATCATCCTGAGGACTGAAGAGTCCCAGGTTCAAATCCGATCAAGAGCAGTTGAGGATCCATCCCTGATCCTAGCTAGTGCTTGTGTGGGAAGCAACCCGTCCACTGTCTCTCTAACATTGATGTTTCTCTATCTCTTGCCCTCCCTTCCACTCACTCTAAAAGTCATCGGGAAAATATCCTTGGGTGAGGATTAACAACAACAACAATAAAATTATATATGATGATTTTATTAAATGAATTACTCTCACTAACCATACCACAGATTCTTAAGTCACAATGATCTCTTGGGATTTATAAAATAGAGACTGTGTTTTCTTGTTTTTCTGAGCGCTCTTCACCTACCTAATTAAAAAACAAACAAAAACACCTTTCACGTCCTAGTAAATAATGAAGAAAGCCAACAAACACAAAATCAACAGCAGTGAAAGTCTTAAAGTTCTTTGTAACTTCTAAGTAAACAACAAATGGTCTGCCATTCTGAACATGCCCTGGCATCTAATGAAAATTACATGACTAAAAATCATTTATTCCTAAATTTAAAAATGAAAACCATTGTGTGAAAGGCATAGCAGAGAAGAAATAGATGATCTAATTATAGAAATGTTAATGAGTAAAAGGCAAACAAATCTTGTTTTTTCTTCTTTCAGGTCTCTGTTGTCAATCAGCTGGACATGCAAGTCATTGTTTCCAATGTGCCACCGACTCTCGTGGAGAAAAAGATAGAAGAACTTACAGAGTAATGAATTTTTGTTTACTTATCTATTTATTTTCATACAGTTATAAATTTTCATTGGACTAGGTCATTTTAATCATTATAATGTTCAGTTTAAACATATATTTTAACACACTGTCTTAATAATTTAGAATGCTGTTTTCCTGAAGTAAGTAGTTTTATTTGAAATATGTGGAGGTTCTAAGAGTGGTTTCAAATAGGACTGGAAATTAGATATGAAAAGATGTTAATTCGGGATGCCTTGATTAATGCATCAACATAACCTCAAATGCAGCATATAAGAAATAAATCATAACATTAATTATTTGAGTATATAGGATGTCCCAAAAAGTGTTTCCACACACTTTGAATAATTATATAGGCAGTGTTTTTGAAATATACTCCATTTTCAAAATTGAGCTATTAACTGTTAAAGTGTGTATACAATTTTTTGGCCCCAAATTATTCAGCCCAATATCTAATAAGCAATCCAGCTAGTCCAGGGAATGCTATTTCTCAGAGTGATATACCTAGATGGCTAAAGCTTTTTTTTTAATAAACCAATTTTAAATGATATATATTTCAAACTATTCTAAAATATATGACATGCTCATCTGCCTTTGAACAGAGTATACTGAGTATGTTATTGTTTACTCGAAGTTGTGATTATTTATTAAGCAACCTGCCTTTAATCTTCTGAGTGCTCTTAAGGATTACTAAACTGTCTTTTACTCTTTTACTCTTAACTATCCTGACCTAACCTGCCACCATTTCATAATTTGTAAGTTGGTATTTATTTATTATTATGTCTTCTACTGAATTTTGTTGACACATGTCAATTATAACTGTTAATCCGCCCCTTTCTAGCCAAATATCTCCTACTTATAAAGCCCCAGGAGAAACTTCTGATATTAATAATTATGTGTCAAATAAAATACACTAGGCATTGATTAAGGAATCAGTGATCCCCTTTTAATGAGGCATAGGTGTTTTGCAACAATTATTTGTTGATCTTTTATAAAACTGAACCATTGGATGTCAGATGAATTTTCCTACAAATGAGGTGACTGTCAACATGTATGCATGGAATATTGATAACACAGTGTCTTATTTATCTCTGAAAGTGTTATATATGCTTAACTTAAATCAAAATAATAGCTGATTACACCTGAAAACTTTAGGATTATACCTGTCTTTTAGCTGCTTTAATGTCATCTATTGAGGTACGCTTTCTCTGATTACACTGTCCAAAAAAGATGGCATTCTCTTCCACCTCTAACCCAGTGATTTTCAACTGGTGTGCCACAAAAATTTTAAAAACGTGTAATACCTGACTGTATTGTCAGGGCATTGACCTCTTTTTCCAAATAAAAAAAATGACAACAGCCAACACAGCAGTAGCCATCTGTTGTGAATGAATCAAAATTATACTTTTTTTTTTGTCAGATAGGCAAAAAATATAGCATATTTTTTGGAGTGCCACAGAATTTTAGTAATTAGTTTATGTGTGCCATGAGATGAATAAGGTTTAAAATTGCTTCTCTAACCCTTTTTTCTTTCTTTTTATTCAGAATATTATGTAATGTTTTTATTATATGTCAATTTCCCACTGGGATATAAATTCCATGAGAAAAGAAAAATCTGTTTTTCACTGCTATAATTTCAGTTATATAGCAAGTACTTAATGCATTTTACAGTTATAAATTTTGTAAAACCAAAATAATAATGTGCCTTTTATCATATTGAGACAATTTATGAAAACTGAAAAAAAATAGCAGATGAAAGTATCATTTCATAGCAATTTATAGGATTTATTCCTTTTAAGTGGATATGAAGATATGAATGAGAAAAATCAGGCAACTTTCAAGTCTTGAGAGAACTGTATCACTATAAAAGGAGCTGTGACTTTGTATAACAGGTTTTGAATTAAACATTGGGCATATTATTGAATCTTTCCCAGACTCCGTTTTACTATCCTATATAATAAAGAGCTAATATGCTAATTAGAATGAACAGCAGAATGACCTCCAGATGACCTTCTGGATGAAGCCAGGGCTGCGAGGACCAGCAGTGGCTGCAAGGGCCAGCGAGGTTGTTAGTGCCAACCCCATTGTGTAAAATTCATGCATCAGGTCTCTAGTTGTTTGATAGGACCTAATAAAACTTATATCAAAGAACTGTGATAAAAACTAAATGATATAAGCTATCTCAGACAATGGAAATCATGAACATTTAATGAATAATAGATATACAGAAATGAGGTTAGTAGCCCAAAAACTGTAGGATAGAATAAGACAGAGACCAGAGTTTGGACTTTCTACTCAAAGAGCAGGTAGTGTTGTAATGGAGCTCAGATTACAGACTCAGACAAGTTTGAATCCTCCTATAGTTGTGTGATTTCTGAGCAAGATATTTAACACGTAAGACCATGCTTCCGCATTTTGTATTTTGAAATAAGGATGTCAACTTTGTGTTACTTTTGATAAAATTAATGTAAATTTTCTGGTGTAGTAAGTCATAGCAGGCATATGACTGATTTCTTTCAATACATTTTTCAAAGCCTGTATTACATGAGAGATTCCCAAGCTCAAAAATTTCTCATCTCTTTAAAAAAAAAAATGCACTTTTTTAAAGAACAGTTTTATAGTGGCAACAAATTTGAGGAAAAGATTCAAAGAATTCCCATATGCTCTCTTTCCCCACGGATTCCTATAGATTCCCTACATCTTTAACCAGAGTGATTACAGTTGAAGCTACACTGACCAATTATTATCACTCCAAGTTCATACTTTACATTAGGGTTCACTCTTGATGTTGTACATTCTGTGAGTTTGTTTGGCCTAATATACAATGCCATGTACCCATATGCAATAATAATAAAAACATATGTTCATTATATTGAACAGCTGAATGACCTTCTGGACGTCATTATGGATGAAGCCACTGTGGCAGGGGCCAAGGCAGAAGTGGTTAGGGGCGATTGGGAAGGCAAGCAAGTGGTTAGGGCTAATCAGGCAGGCAGGTGAGTGGTTAGGAGCCAGTGGTCCCAGATTGCGAGGGGGTCTCGGATTATAAGAGGGTACAGGCCAGGCTGAGGGACCCCCTCTCCTCCATGCACAGATTTTGTGTACCAAACCTCTAGTTATAGTATCATCTAATGTAGTTTCACTGCCCTAAAAAACTTCTTTGCTCCCCACTAACCTCTGATCTTTTTACAATGTGACCTTTTCCAATTTGTTCATTAAAAATAAGAATTTATTGTTCCAGTGATAGGACTAACCAGCACATTCATTTCCTATAGACATTCTTAGATGACAAGTCACAATATCATCAAAGCCATTTTTTATATTTCCCATGAGATATTTCTGTCCTATGAAGTGGAAAACTAGAATTCCATTTGGTCATCACTTTTGTATTTTTTTTTTTCCTTAGGAAGACCCTTATATGAGACCAAATAATAACTCAAAGTTTCCTTGGTAAGCATGAAACCAGTACAATCTGGGAGAGTTGATAAAAGGAAAGCATAATTACCTAATATATTCATATGATGGTAGAAAATTATTTGCAAAGGGAGTCAGTATCGTTTGATGGCTAAGAGCTCAGAGCCTAGAAAGGAGGATGCTCACAGTAAATGTTAGCTGCTACAGTGATGCTAATGATTACTCTCCACTCCCTTAGAATTGGCTTCAAGGGCTCTACTGATTTTTTTTTTTATTACTTTTTGGTATTTTATGCTTATAGAATTAACCAATACTCCTTTGTAATGAAACTCAACCCCTTTTTAATCGTATTAACATATTCCAGCTAACCCAATGTCCCCTACAGATGGCCTTGCACCTCTATGTTCTGAAGTATTTTAGTTTTACCTTAGGATTTATCTCTTTGTGAGTCTGTCTCTTTTACAAATTCTTGAGATTAAGGAGCAGGAGAAATAGATGTAAGTGACACTTGATAATGTAACCAACAAATGATTGGCAATAGTGTCTAAAGAAAAAGCTAAGAAATATTTACCTTTTGTCTTCTTCTTTTCTCCTTCCACTTTACCATGAAGTCCCCATGAGTAAAAGAAGTTTGGGATGCTAAAATTTAAATTCTTAAGAAACTGCAGAAGTGGAATTTTCAAAATATATAAATTAAAGATTTTGGAAATATTGTGTTACTATATGAATTGTAATTGATAATTTAGGTCTCAGAGTTGCTCAAACACTACTCTTACTTTCTAAATACAATATGAAAAATCAATGATAGAGAACTTCATTGCTGTAGTTAATGCTTTGATGTGGAAGAATCTATCTTGATGAAATATTTATATTACGTCTGAAATGTGTCTGAAATTTTAGCTCCTGGTATAACAAGTCATACTTGAGAAATCTAGTTGAGATATGTATTTCTAGGATGAGAATTAGAAGTCTCTTGGAAAAAGAACCAATGAAATAGTAAACAATAGGTGCTAGCACTTATATTCTTTATTAACAATGTTGTCTTAGACATTTTTCACATAGAGATAATGTTCTGGCTTACATTTTAAAAGGTTGTTGAGTTGGAGATTAGGTGACCAATTATAAGTATATAGCAATAGTCCAGGAGAGAAATCACTGGCGCTTGGACTGGTGGTAGGGATGGAGATAGGGAGGAGTGATTATAATCCTAAATAATAAAACCCAAATGTGCAAATCAACCCAACAGTGGAACGACCGGTCGAGATGATAAGCAATGACCACCAGGGGGCAGAAACTCAATGCAGAAGCTGCTCCCTGATGGGTCAGTGCATTTCCACAAGGGGAGTGCTACTCAGCCTGAAGGTGGACTCATGGCTGGTAAGCACAGCAGTGGTGGCGGGAGCCTCTCCCACCTCCATTGTGGGCAGGCAGAAAGGAACAAGGGGTACCAGACTACAAGAGCCCTGGACTGCGAGAGGGATGTCTGGGTACCAGCTGGTGGACAGCTCCCAAGGGGTCCCAGATTTCAAGAAGGCACAGGCCAGGCTGAGAGACCCTTCCCAAGTGCACAAATTTTGTGCACCG